GAGCTGAAGAAACTCATTCAAAATTGAGTCTATATATATATATATATATATATATATTTATATATATAACAGATAGAAGAAAGTACTAAAGTACAGATATTCTTAATGAGGGCGACAAGTCATGTCGCTTTAGCTCTGTCCGTCTGTCTGTATATGTAAACACATCATTTAGCATGATCAGTAGCTGTTTATATAGTTGCATAAATTTGTCAGTCATTAAAATCATGTAAATTGATTAAAAAATAAAAAATGTGCTCAGCAGCAGCAAGAAAAAACACATTTGATACACATATATATGAAGTATATATGTATTTCATATATATTCCCGATCAGAGTGACAAGTTGTGTGCATACAGCTAGCTCTGCCTGCTCGCCTTTTCTTCTGATTCCAACTTAGCTCATAATGAGTGTAAACTCTCACTCAGAAAGCGCTCAGCAGCTCTGCTGCAGCTGCGCTTTGAGTGACTTTTGGGTATAAAAGGGCGCAGCAGCGGCTGTGGCGATCAGTCAAGTTTGTGACCTGGACTGGGTCAGTCGTGCAGTGCAAGTGGTGAATAAATTTAAGTTTTTTTGTTAAATTGTTTAAGTTTAAATAATTTGTATATTATTAATAAATATTGTATTTGTTTAAATAAATATTTAAATGTATATTTAAGTTTTTTTTTGTGAACATTGTATATTTGTTTAATTGTTTAAATGTTAATTATTGTTAATAAATACTAATTGTTATTATGATAATGAAGTTCATCATAATGTTCATTAGCGATAATTATCATTAAGAATAATGATCATTTATGTACATGATTATTATTGGTAATGATCATTTACGTTAATGATAATTAACGTTAATGATCATTAGTAATATGATTATTTCATGATCATTTTCGTAATGCCAACTAAGTTAAGAGTCAAATTCCCTTTTACCCTTGCTTTGTTCTCTTTAAAATTGTTAACTAGTTTTAATTTATTTGGCTTTTTGTGATAGAGTTTAGTTATTTGCAAAGTATGCTTAATGTTTGTAAAAACAGAGCATCTCTTCTCTTAATTTTAATTTTTATAACATGTTTTTGCACATAAATATTAAATATTAAATATTAAATATTTGTATATACAAATGTATTTATATGTCTATTTAAAAAATATTAAAAAAAAACAAGAATATATAAATATATTATATATAAATATATTTATTATATATAAATATGTTATATATAAATTAATTATATATAAATATATTATATATAAATATATTATATATAAATATATTATATATAAATATATTATATATAAATATATTATATATAAATATATTATATATAAATATATTATATATAAATATATTATATATAAATATATTACATATAAATATATTATATAGATTAAATAACGATAACAATAATAACATTGACAAATGTTTGCTAAATAACCTATTTATGTATTACAAAACGAATATTTAAGAGAATTTTCTCTATTTAGCTAAATAATCCATTTTGAATTACAAAAATACGAATGTCGCACAAAGCAGATTCCATAAACTTTTCGCTCTCCAAAGAGTCAACTTGATATAGCGAATAGCATATGCTAGCAAATCTAGCATTCAATAAACACGCTCTAATCACAGCAATCCCATCAGTAAGCCTTCGATAGCTAGCTCTCGACCCACGCACAGCCCGCAATTTAGATCATTCACACAAATATCAGCACACTCTATGCATTACTCACTTTTATGACGCGCATTTTGCATTATCTGTGGAAGTGCCGCCTGGATTATGTTCGCTCAGCACTCACTTTCTCTAAACTCGGTCTTTGCGTTAACTAAGCGTTAAGTCCGAACGAATCCCGTACAATAAAAAGCTTGGGCCTGGCGACTAAAGCGCATTAAAACTGCCGACTGGCTGTGTAACCGAAGCTCTCACGGCAGTTGGAGTTTGAGTTGGGGAGAGATAGCGCTGCGCTGGTCAGTGCCCAGTAATAGAGCTCGTTTGATTTTGCTATCGCATTTTTTCTTTCTATTTTCTGATTGTTTTTTTTCTGCTGCTTCTTCTTTTTGCCATTGCGTTGATGCGGTTTTGCTTTGATTTAATTTTGCTTTTACTGCTGCCGGTTGTTTGTCATTGTTCGCAGTTCGTATTCCCTTCTGCCCATTGTCTGCACCCAATTTGTGAGCTTTGTTCAATTGGCTTTGCCGGCTGCCGCAGTCTGTGTGCTGTGCTTTACACTCGACTCTGCACAGCTGAACTGTCATTCATTCGTCAGCAAAATAAATCACCGAACGGAACGACGAGCACTTTAAAAATTTAGCTCGGTCTGAGCAGAAGTTTCAAAGTAGGCAGCAATAATTTAAAGCCACAAAATCTAGTTAAATATTCAATTGGCTTAGTTTTTTGGCAGTAAATTTGAATAGGTTATGCTTGCAAGTGGAACAATTTGGCAACAGTTTATAAAGCTTGAAAGTAATGAGCTTACCTGGCGATAGGCATTGCACTTGATAGCGAGAGAAAAAGGCTCAGTTTGGAAAGAGAAGTTAAGAAAATGGAGCATGAAATGAAGCAAATGGAATAGAGAACATGAAATGTGGAATTTAGACTATAGAGTAAGGAATGTGGAATATGGAATGAGGAATGTAAAGAATATGGAATATGCAACTTGGAAAATCTAATATGAAATGCGGAACACAGAGTATGAATAGAGTATAGAGTGTGGATAATATGGAGGAATATGGAATATAGAATATGAAATATGGAATATGGAATGTGCAATATAATATAATATAGAATAAAGTATTTGAAATAACTAGAATATGAAATATGAAATTTGGAATATGATGAATGTGGAACATGAAGCATGGAAAAAAAATATTGCTAATAATCTATAATATTCAAATTCTGTATTCTGTATTCCACATTCCACATTCCATATTCCATATTCCATATTTCTCATTTAATTTTCCACATTCCAAATTCCATGTTCCATATTCGCTTTCTTATTATAAAATGAAATGTAGAAAATATAAATCTGAATATTTAAGGAAAAAGAGATTCATAAACGTGTGTCTCTTAGGGCTTAACCATTGAGCTGAACTAAAAGAAATATTTTCAACTGTGACAAATTCAACTTGAACAAATTCTTAGCTATCAATAATAAAAACTGTCATTGTCGTAGCAGCAAAGGCCCTATGGACGCTCATTGTATTGCCAAATATCCTTGAAGAATCCCTTGCAAAGACTCGCCAAGCGATGCAGCTGGATAACATTTGGCAGTTCAGGCTGCCATTCAAATTCCTACGACGCAACTGAAACCCACATATTTCCACCAAAAACTAACTCATAATTCCATTAAGCTCACAGTTGGACAGGCACTGCAGCACTGCTGCCACACAATTGTGGTTCGACTATTGCATAAGAATATTACGAGCATGAACTGATGCTTGATGCCATTAACCTAGAGCTCGCTCTGCTTTTTTCCTTTTGCAACTCCAGCCATGCGACTAGTTTATGCTGAACATATTTTATTGATTACATTTGCTATTACCCAAGTTGTGCAGACTCCGGCACGGGCTGCGCCCCGTCTGCTTGTTGGCTGCGTGGTTTTGCACAAGTTTATGAGATTTTTGTGCTAGGCAACCCCAAAAATCAAAATCACTGGAGCGGGAGTTTTAGCCACATTTAGGGGAATTGCATTGCTGTGCTATGTGTGTGTGTGTGTGTGTTGGTGTGTCTACATGAGTTATGTAAGCAAATAAATTGCTTATTTGTAGCGACAATTTGCGGTAATTTTGTGATTTGTGTATTTGGCTTCAATCTGCAAATGTTCTGCTGACATCATCTGTGGCTTGTGTTGGGGTTGTTTTACTGCCACGCCTCAAACTCAGAGTCTTTATGGCTATTAATTAAACATGTATACATATATTTATATATATATATATGCATGTGTGTGTGTGTGTGTCTCTCTGCTCTACACCCACATCTAGCTTAAATTTCATGACACACTCTCCCACCTCTCTCTCCCACACAGTTTATTGACTGCCTGCGCGCACACTAAACGCGTAATCCTTTTTCTGCGCCTGCCATTTGCATATAGCATACGTGTAAGAGGCCACACTGAGTGCTGTCTCTGCTGCTGCTGCTGCCGGCCACCCACTTGTATGCATATCGTTAGCAAATTGCAGGCTCAAAAATGCCAGCAACCAAAAAAAAAAAAAAAAACGTGAAGCGAAAACTTCAGGCAAAAGCACTGTAAGCTAATACCCAGCCAATTTCCGTTGGCTGCTTCTCTGTTACAGTTGGTCTTTTTTACTCTTATGCGCAGGTAACGTGGCCAGCTCAACTTGTGTCCTTCTTCGTCTTTTTTTTTTTTTTGGCCCTGTGGCGCAATTCGTGCCTTTTGTATTTCCGTTTTGGAAATTAGCTGGTGCGCCCCCCGCGTATGTTCTCTGTACAAATTTGTATAAAAGCTTAGCTACATTTCCCGTTTAACTCATTTGCATATTCGACACATTCCAAATTGACTTCCTCTGGCCATTTACGAGCTGCGCCTTTGGGGAATTTAAGCCTTTTTAGGCTGGCATTTTGTGAAAATAATTTTAAAATTGACATTAACTTTGGCCGAGGTGTCCAAAACTGAAATGAAGCCATTAGCAGTCATAGCCAGGGTCCACACGCACACAAACCCCATCAATTGACTTGTGAACGAAGCCCCAACCGCACGCACAGCAAAAGGCGTTGATTGGGCTGCCAGCCCCAAAAACCAAACTAGCCCACAAAATGTGTCCCAGCTCGCACAAAGTGAATAGCCGGGCGGCAGGCCATCTGAAAATAATTTGATTGGGCGAAGGGGAAAAGGGAGTTTTGAGTGCTTTTCATAAATTGATTTTGCATAAAAGCCAATTAGCATAAGTCATAATGCAATTCTGTAATCGAGAATTTACAATTTATACATATATATATAGATATAGATATTAATATTTATATTTTTGTGTGTTTTCGTGCTTCTATTTGCAGCTATTTCCCGCGAGGATGGCGACGATTCAACACATCATCATCATCATCATAATCATCATCGCGGCGGCGGCGCCCATCATAATCACGGTAATAAAGTTCCATTCAATGGTTACAACTCGGAGGAGTATCTGGATCGCCTCGAACCCAATGGCAATATACCCGCTGACAAAACAAATTGCAGATATGGCGGTAAGTTATTCAAATAGTGTTAATTGTGATGAGTAAGTAAAGTAACTGATGCAAGTGAACTTAAGACAGATGTGAATAGAGTTCAAATAGTAAAATATATAACAACTTTACAAGGCTTTTCATGCGCAGCTTTACTTTGAAGTGAAACTTATTCTGTTATATTTTATAGATAGTATAGTAGTTAATATTAAGTTAGGTCTGATATATATGCATAAAGAAAGCATCACGTTATAATTTTACTAGCTTAACTATTTTTATAAGTATTCCATTTGAGCATTTCTAAAGTGTTCTTAAATTTGCTTCATTTTGAACACATGAATTTATAGAGGAGATATTATATACATAAATAAATTGATAGACGTAGAATGTAGTTTAAGATAAGAGCGCTAATATATCATTAAAATATATATATATCTAAAGATATATGCATAAACCCTTGCCAACTCCCTCGCCCAACTACAGCTCAGGCTATCTCTCTCTCACTCTCACACATCACTTCATGCCCTACTCAAAAAAAATATTGCCTACTTTTCAGCGCTCCGTTTTGTATCTGCACGGTTTGCTGACGAAAGCGATTTGTACTTATATATCTTTTCACAGTTTCAGTTTTGCTTTAGACAACTTTAAGCAAACTCATTCATAAAGATTTGCGCAATTTATTGCCTCACTTTCGTAATAATCTCTCATTTGAGCAGCAGCAGCCTTGGGCCCCGTCCACGCAAAACTAATTTAATGATACGAGAAGCATTTGTAAGCGCTTTGTCGCTCCCCACTGACTGACTGGCGTAATTTATGCCTTGGCTCTAACTAATATCGGGCCGCGTGTCTAATTATGGCCAAAAACATTTCCCCAGTGGCATAGATAAACCATTCGAGGCAAGCATTTCACGCGCTCAATTTATTCGCCATGCTGCATACATTCTTTGCTGTTGCCTCTTCTTTAGTGTAATTTATCAAATTTTTGTCTCATTTAGCAACGTTTTCACATTTTTTCGTTTCGTATATTTTATCTGTAATTTTCGTCATTTAAAGACGTGCTTAAATTGTTTATCATATCATAACTTGGCTGTTAATGCGCTTGAATTCCAATGTGATGCACATTAAGCTTCCACCCTATCGCCCTCTCCCTCTTTCTCTCGCTGCCTCTGTCTCTGTTTTTCTGTTGCTCCTTCATTTTATTGTCATAATTGTAAATTGCAATTTTATGCAAACAATGGCAAAATGAAGGCACAATCTCAAGTCCTGCCAGTGAGCCAGCCAGCCGCCCCCTTTGCTTCATGAGCCCTGGCGACTTCAGACTGGTTGACATTGCCGATAAGGCGACTGATGATGAGCCGGAGCACAAGGACTTGCTGCTGGCGCTTGTACTTGAAGCTGTTGCTCTTGTTATTGTCCTTGTAAAGCGGGGCACTCAACTCGCATCCCTCTGCCCACTCTTTCTTTCCCTCTGTCTACGTCTAGGCATTACGGAATCGGCTCATAAAGCAACGGAAATGAAAATATTAACAAGCAAATGCACAGCAGCAACAGCAACAACATCTGTAACAACAATGAGAATTATTCATAGTTAAATGGAAACTGTGCTGCATGCCTCATATAGTAGCTATCTGTATCCCATTGTCTCTCGTTGTTGGAGAGGGATAGAGGGGCGGAGAGGCAGCTGAAGGTGCAGCTGCACGTGAGCCTTGCTGTGTGCATATTGCCAAGGTCCTGGACTGGCTGACACCTTAGCCAAGTTTAATGCACCGTCGCTATATCTCTTTTGGCTTTGCCCTGCTGCTACACGACGCTAGGTGGCGCTAGTTGGCATGTTTGCTTATTGCATTTGCGAGGTGCGCTGCAAGGATTATGTGTTCTCTTCTACATTTTTTTTGTGCACCTGACACAGCAACTTTGGCCCGATATGAAAAGTGTGAAAGGTTGTGGCTAAAAACTTTTGCTGCATGCAAATTTAAGTCGTGCCGCATGTCAGTTTCAAAGCTTTTGACTAGTTTTTGATACACTTTAAATGCGAAACTTGAATGGGTATTAGAAGTTTGTGTGGAATTATATAGTTTTTATATGTTGCAGAGCGTTGAATGTGTTATGTGTTTCAGCTTGATATGATATGACGCCTTAGTTAAGCGCATGTTTGACTTAGGCTAGCTCAAATCCCAATTCTGTCGCATAGGCAAAGTTTTGTATCAAAAACTATTGCTTAAGCATATGATTCATGTTCTATACTTAACAAAATTATGAAATACCAAAAGACAGTAACAACTGACAGCTGACAGCTGACGAGTTCCCTGTGAGTAAGCTGACAGGCGAGACAGTTGAAACCTGAACTGCGCAGCTTGAGTTTGTTACACAACTGATCTAAAGAATTCCATAATTCATGTACAGACAATTGTCTATGTATACATTTATATATATACATATTATTCAACTTTTCAAGCTCTACCTTTCTATATTTATATTAAACTCATGCACAACTCTTAACTCAATCTCAGCTAAACAAAAACTGATTTCAACTCAAGTTTTTCTATAAAAAAGTCGCAGTTTTTCTTTCAAGCTTAAACTCTTCACAGCTCTTTAGACTAATTTGATATATATATATATATATATATATATATATATATATATATATATATATATATCTTGGATTCATTTATAGCATATAGTTTTTACTATCTCTTCAGCTCACATTTGATTAATAGTTTTTTCTTCTATTTTTCAATTCAATTCGTTGTTTTTATATTGTGATCAATAAAGTTGTTCAAGCTACCCCCTGCTGGCTGGCAATGTTTTACAGTTCAGTTATCATAAAGTTATGTAACGCACAATAAATTACACACTTTGAAAGCACATTCACCCACTCAGCTAGAGCATTGCCCCAGCTCCGGCCCCGTTTTCGCAACGCTGTTTCAGCCAAAAGCAATTTCAGTTTTTCATGCTGCCTGCTCGTGTTGTTGCTGTTGGTTCTGATTAGATGATTTATAAGTTATCTTCAGCTGGAGAACGTTGTTGTTGTTGTTGTTGTTTGCTATTTGGCTGCCTTTGCCGGGATATGCGCAATTTATTTTCTCTCAAAGACTTTGCCCTTAAGAAAGATTATGGTTTATATGCGCAAATTATGCGCTGCCAAAGCAAGCAGCGAGAAACCTTTCCAAAAAGAAGCAAAACTCCCTTTGCTATGCTTACGCGTCGACTGCCATTTGTTAGGCAATTAGAAAAGTTGTTAAAAAAGAAGCAGAGGCGGAGAAATTGTAAATTGTAAATTGCTTGAAAAAACATATTTGGCAAATTCGCATAAAGGAAGCAGTTGACAAACGGCCTGCCCCATAGCTGTGGCGCCACAAAATTGTAAATCATGCTCAGCGATTATGCGCGACACGCAAAATTACGAGTATTTAATTCGCTGTGTGAGTGTGTGGCAGCTGCTTGGTGTTTGCCACATGCTGCATGCATCACTCGGCTGCATTGCGCTTTAAAATGCCACTTGCTACGCCAGCCGCTCAACTTTTTGGCAAGTTCCTCAACTACCTCAGTTATTTCAAAGCCGCCCTCCTCGCGCCAACCGCGCCTGCTCCCATGCTGCCCCAACAGGATTTAACACGCGCGACTAAATCCTTTTAGCGCATTATTTGGCTTTTGATGCGCCTTTACTTGTCCTTCACTTGATGTTTACTTTGCAGCTGTGCTGGGGTATAGTGACTCTGACAGACGCTGTGTTAAGCCTAAGGTAAATAGACATTGTGAGGCTCAGAAGTAGGAGTTAAGCTGAGTATTTTGTATGTGTGAATATAGGAAAGATCTGGACAGCTTCTTGTACAATCAGATCTAAAGTAGTAACTCGAACATAACTTGTCGGACTTAATGATGGAGCTGCTCATAAATAAGTTCATTTCATCTGCTTTATTACTTTCTTCTCACCTCTATTCAGTAGCAAATTTGTGGCTTTCATTAACAGCATCCAGCTGCTTAGCATCACCTCTTGTTTATCTCACATAATAGGCCCTTAAAGGGTATGCTTTGTTCGTCTTCTTTCACTTGTGTTGCCCTTTTTGGCACTTTCAGCTTCATCGCATCGTTTGCTTTAGCATTTTTTTCCTTGCTCGCCGTCTTGCGAGGGGTGAAACTTTGTCAGAGATTTCGGTTTTTTGTTGTCTATTGTTTTCATAGCGTTTTTCTCTCCCCAGTGGAGGGGCTGTGATTTAAATTTATTGGCGAAATACTTTAAGTGATTTTTTGTATGTGTAACCAGGGCACAGTCTGGATGGGCTGATGGGGTAGTTTGATTTTCTGCAGATGTTTTGTAACAGACAGAAGAGAGAAGTTTACTATATTCCTTTCAAATGCATAACAATTAATTTTGATTATAGATTTTTTAGATTATATTCGAAAACTTTACGATCTTGAGACGTAGACCTTAGTATAAATAACATTGGGAAGCATAAACTAAATTAAAGCCATACTTTTTACTTTATTTGCCTTTATTTATTTTCAAATGAATTTTGATTGAACTTATTTCAAAGTAAATGTATTAAAATCTGAAAAAAAAAACTGTAGGCTCAGAACTAATTTTTATGAAAACCCTGAACGCAATGGTGCTCATGCTGAAAATCAGCCGAGTAGTAGTAACACCAAGTCGGCTACTCCCGCTTAAAGCATTCTTTCGTATATTCTTAGCATTTAATTTCTGTCTATAACGGAACGAATTATGTAGCATTTTCCAAGTCGACTGCTCCCGCTTAAAGCTTACTTTCGCGTATTCTTGCCAGTAGTAGTAACTCCAAGTCGGTTACTCCCGCTTAAAGCATCCTTTCGTGTTTTGTTTACCATTTCTTTTGGCGGGTGTTGGCATTGTTTCCCTTTTGGCATGGGCAGAATGGGGGAAACCCTTTGACAGTTTCGCTGGCTTTTCTTGTTTCTTGCGGCCATTAGGCGGGCGTTGCCAGCCAAAGAAGTCCTGTCGCCTTGTGGTTAGACAGCCCTTCTTTGTGGTTTTGCCCGCTGTCAAA